TCACCGCCTCCACAAAAGCCGCGTCCCGGTGCCTCCCCGCAGAGCATGCACGCTTCCCCCTTGCACACCGCTCTGCTGCCCGTGTCGCTGTCCCCTCCTCTCCCTCCCCCCTCCTTCGTGCATAATCTACCCCCTTGCACATCGCTCTGCTGCCCGGCCCAGAGCACAAAGCCTGCAGACTGCTCTGCTGTCTCCCCGCCGCATACGCTGCCCTCTCGCATTGCTCCGCTTCCTGCTCCCCTCCCCGCGCGCACACGCCGCATGTTGCTCTGCTCTCCCTCCTCCGTGCACACCAGCTACCCACGGGCACATTGCTCCGCTGTGGGCCCCCCTCCGCCGCGCACACGCCCCGCAGACCGCTCCGCTGCCCCCGCAGCCGCATTCCTCGGCTTCCAGATCGCACCGTGTCAAGGAGCCTGGCAAGAGGAGGAGCCATTGCCGGGCCTGCATTGCTAGCTAGCGGCTGGTCGGTACGCAATGAACAATCCTCGCTACAATAATATTAGAAAATATATTTATTTCTCATTAATCGACTTTACATACTCTATCCCAGAAAAGCGAGAGGTCGGCCAACCACTGCCTTGAAAATCACCACGGCTACCGCACCGCTCTAGTACTCCAGCACGTTCACGTTACCTGCTGATGACAACTGCCCCATCAGATGCTTATCCCGTGGCAGCGGTCTTTCCTCTCCGAGGCGCTGAGCCGTTCCAACTGCGATTCCTGTTTAGTCTAGGTTTCCTTCGGTGAGTGGCTGTTGAGATCTTTATTGCTTTGTCTCTTCATTTTGATTTTTAACTTGTTGTTGTTAAGGTTAATATGTTACGTTCTAGCAAGATCTTCAATGCTGCCTTGAGGATCCGCTCTTGGCATTCACCGCGTGCCTTAATTGTATGACATTAAATCAAGGTCCGCTGTGAACACGGAGAGTCAGAGCCTTGGAGCGCTCCCCCTCCCTCTCTCCCTTTTTGGAAGCAAAATAGCAACCGATCCCCGAAAGAAGGTAATTCCCCTCCCCCCTAGTCCCTTCCTGGCCTGAGCTTAATGTAATTCATGCTTGAGTTTTCTTACTAGCCCATCTGTTGTTTGCAATGACCAGGAAGCTGTTAAATATGTATTTAACGGAATAATAAAGGACAGAAATTAAGCGTGTGTCTATTACACACCTCCCAGGTGACTGCCTTAATTTCGCCAGCGTTTTAACGTGATTTTAAGAGCGTGATTTTGGCTCTCCGCTACTCGCTGCCTCTGATTTTTTATCCCTAACTGAGATGGACCGTGCCTCTCTCCTCGGCTTGTCCGCCTGGTTCTGCGGCTCCGCTCCGGCGCAGACTGTGGGAGCTTGCAGCTCCCAGAGCATCCTCCGCTCCTCTCGGCCGGGGGATGTTTCGGGCGGAGCGAGGTGAAAAATAAAAGAGCAGGACGTGTCATCTTTCTTTGTAAAGCGGAAAAAAAAAATTAACTCACTCGCACCTGCCCCTTTCCCGTGAGGGTCTGGGCAGCCCATCTGGCCTGCCTGCATTGAACTGCGCGAGTGAGGAAGGGAGGGGTAAAGCGATTAGAATTACCAAAAAAAAAAAATTTAAAAACAGCCTAAGCTTTTTATTATTATAATAACGCCTATCGCCATTCTCACCGCTCGAGAGGGGGACCATTCCGCCTCGGTGCCGCGGGCGCGCCTGGGAGGAGCAGGGCGGCCAGGCACCGCTCACCGCCCGGCCGCTCGA